TAAGCTTCAGTACATTCCCATTTCATCATGCATTTAGCATCTTCTATCTGAATACGTTGCATTCCAACGTTGCATTTTTTTAGTTTTTGCATTCACTGGGAATTGAACCCAGTGTTGAATTGTATGGGAATTAAGTTGTAATTGCAATAAACGGTAAAGACAATTCAACTATATCCAGTGAACAATGAGGCGAGTATTTTGTGGACTACAGTATAGCAGTGTTTTGGAGGCCCCACATCGGAGCCAGAGGCCCGAGAGACAATCACCTGCTCTGCCTATAGGTGGCGCTGGCCCTGATCCACATTAGATATTATATAGCAAATATTTGGAAATTCTTAGAAATAGCTGTTACCTCCTCGCATCTTACCTTTCAGACTATTTCTTGAAATGAAATATATCTGCAGAATTGTGATGTTTCACCCACATGAACTCTTCAGCTCTCATTAGATGATGGCTTCTCTCAGCTCAGCTCGCCGCCAGCGAACATCTTCTTCTGCTTCCTTCCCTGAGCTCTCGTCTGTGCCTGGAAGATGCTGTGTTTCTTCACGATGCTGGAAATCATTGTGGATGATGTGTGTCGAGAGCTCTGAACTGGTGCTGGAACAACACTGGCGAAAGCCGTTTGAGATGTTAAATCAGTGAGGATGTCTCAGATCTTAAGCCTCAGGATCAATGATGCTGTAAGATGAGCATCGGTGCTCCTCAAGTTACTATTATTATTGTATTATTTTAATTTCATGTGTGTGTGAGAGCGAATCTCTCTTCAGCCACAGAATCAACAAAATGAAATTAGGGCTGTCCGTTTAACGCGTTAACTTAATTAATTAGTTATGAAAAAAATAACGCGATTAAAATATTTGAACGCATTTAACGCACTGGCCCCGCCCCCAGACATGTACGTCATCTCACATTTCCTACAGTTGACTGTTGACAAACATGATGCATATAAATAATCCATAAATGCAGTTATGCCCTAAAATTCAAGATATTGAGGCAAAAAATGCCCCTGTATGAGTCTGTGTCTCATATTTATATCATATGATAAGCGATATCACAGGAGCAGCGAGAGCAATATCACACGAGTGCTGTTTTTGTCCCGAATATCAGGAGTTTAAATGTGATTTTTATACAACAGTTCAGCAAGAAGTTAATATTGTGTGTTTTTGCTCAATTTTGCCAACGAAAATATTACCTAAAGCCACCGCAGAACTGTGCGTCTGTGATCAACACAGCGGTGTTTAGTTTCTGAATGAATCCGTATTTGCACGAATCGAATGAATGAATGACTCATAAAGAAATTTAACGCCACCTGCTGGAAGTTTTAGTTTCTTAGAGTATCATTTCATTTATTAAAAAAGGAATAGTTAAATAAATAAATATTAAAGGGATAGTTCACCAATAAATAAATAAATTCTGTCATAATTTACTCACCCTCATGTGGTTTCAAACCCGAATGACTTACTTTCTTTTGCACAACATAAAAGAAGGTGTCTTGAAGACTGTTGGTAACAAAGCTGTTTTGGTTACCAGTGACTTTCATTGCATGAACACAAAATACTAAAAAATAGATGTTTCTCTAATTATCTTCTTTTATGTTCCATATTATGTTCGGCTGTTGTAACCTATGTGTAATAAGTGTTATGTTGAATCAAATAAAATATTTATTTCTAAAGCCACTATTTCTAAATGTCTACTTGATAGTTTCTCGTTTAACACAATAATAGCTTTAAATAATCTTTTGTGGATATTTTCACAGCCAAATTTGATTTGCGATTAATTCAGGCTAATTAATCGCCGCAACATGTAATTAATTAGATTTTACAAAATAATCGACTGACAGACCTAATTCAAATATAAAATTATATATAAAAACTCTGAATGCTATAAAATATTTTTATATTTATATTTCTTTTTTCTGTTGTTCTAATTGAAGAACATGCCATTCTAGAAACATCTGGAATCACAAGATGAACCATGGTTCATTTAGACACTGGTCTGCCAATTAGCAGCCTTGTCATAATTACAGCAGAAACAGTGAGGGGTTGTTTTGGATAATTCGGGGTACTTTGAGCGCTGTGGTCTTATCAGTCACGGGTAAAGCGATCATAAACTCCCTCGAGAGCCCGTGCTGATCTGTAATAATCAACTAACTTATCTGCGATGAACGCTCGCGATGGGGAAGTAAAGGAGCGTTTCGTGCATCAGAGCTATTTCAGAATGACACGACATTCTTCTGAACTATGATTAATGATACGAAGAAACGAGCATTTCTCTGAGAAGTGGGATATGGGAGGGGAAACACCTCCAGATGCTGTAATCGTGGTTTCATCTCGCAGTTACAGGCAGTTATATTTACAGGAGGACGGTCCTCCTTCTTCTGTACAGTAAGAAGCAGAACTGTGTGGATGCAGGACAGTGTTGTGCTGGTGGTTTCCTCGTCGCCACAGTTCACGGTTCAGAGATCTAACTTCAGGTTGTTCACCTGAAATAGCAGCGCGCACACATCACCGCGAGTGTGTGTGTGTGTGTGTGTGTGTGTGTGTGTGTGTGTGGATCTAATGGCTCTGAGTTCCAATCTCATCTTTTGTTAAACAACTCTGGTCTCAGCACTGAAGCATACACACACACACCCAAGAGGGGGTGTGTCCCTCCTACTCAGATGTTGCAACCTTGATTACACACCCGCACCCTCCCAAAGCAAATATTTCAGGACACTGATCTCGCTTTCTCTTTCTCATGTTCAGCAGTTGCACTGATAATCACTCCAGAATGTTTTAAAAAATCCAGTTCTGCCCTGAGTGATGTCAGAGCAAGCAGTCATTTCAAATAAATAAGTAACAACTACAACATTACATAAGACATGACTTCATAGAAAGTCTTTGTATTTTCTAAGTGATTGTCCCTCTTCTGGGATGATGTCTGGTATGTGACGCGACAGAAAGCCTAAGAGTCTTCGGAGAGTCTAAAGAGGCTTCATCAGGCTGAGAACGGACGGAAGTCTTCGACCCAAACCCGCTTCTCCTGCCGCTGTGTGGGAAGCAAGGTGGGCGGAAGTAGAGTTAGTCATTCCCAAAAGACTAAGCATCCGCATAACTCAACACAAACACACCAGCAAACCTGCAGAACAAAACTTACTTTGTTGACTTGGAGCCTGAAGACATCACTTTGTAAAGTATCTGCATTCTCAGCGAATATAAATATATAAATCACGCTGAGAAGCCAGTGTTTCTTTGGCTTGTGTTTTATGGGTTTGTCATGGTTTTCAGCCCGTGTAACTCCGGTCAGTGTACAGTACGCTCACGGTAGGAGAGATTCCCCTTCACCTCCTCACCTCTGACTTTTACTTTCACAATGACCCAGACAGACGTTCCTTGTGCTTTACTGGAAGTGCCGCTCATCTTTATGGGAACGGCTTTGACACGCAGGGTGGGCGGCAGTGCTGACTGTGTTTCTCACACAAGCCCATAGTTACAGGACCTGGCGGAGGCACAGAATATGTTCATGACCCTTGTTAAGATAACTGACTAATGACTTCTGCCCAGACTGTCCTGTCTTCTCTCAAATGCCAGATTTGTGTGTGTGAAGTTGCTCATGTATTGGTCTGTGTGTACACACACAAAAACTGAATTATGGTATTAAAGAAAGGCATGACATGAGCAAGACGTTTCAGAAACCTACTTCTCTTTATTGTTGATAAAAAAGAAAACAAGCGAACAATGAACAGCATGTTATTTTGAAGCAAATACACCAACACAGCGAGGCAAGTCGCCCCTCAGTCACACGTCCCCGTCAGTCGCTCGAGTTTTGTGTAACTCTCTCGAAGATGCCAAATGAGCTCCAGAACTGGCCGTCACAATCTGACACGGTTCCACAACAGTAACACATCTTTGACTTAAAATGCTCTGTCATGAAAGTCACACTAGCGTGAATCTGATTTGGGATCAAGACTGAGAAGATCATCGTTACACAAACGGCCTTCTGTACACGCAAGGCAAACAGAGTAAACTCACTGAACAAAGTACTTGCGTTCTTCAGTATGTGTATATATGACACATGGTTAAGAAAAAAGACTTCGTGGTCTGCCAACATTTTCTTCGTTTTAAAATGAACAATGCAATCAGTCTTTAGATTTGAATCAAAACACAGCCATACAGTCCCATGAAATAACAAAAACATGGGAGCGATCGATCGCAACACTCTTAAAGTTAGGGTTAAATAGAGGAACACCGAACAATCATGAACAAATCAAGGACCAGTGGAAAAACTGGAGCACTCGGTGGACAAATGTACCAACAGCAGGCGTGTACGAACACAAACCAGCAACACAGAAACGCTTGGAGCCGAGCTCAAATAAAACACCACCACACTGCTCAAGAAAACCACTTCAATAAATAAAGTACTGGAATGATACAAAGCAATACAGTAGGTACTGTACACACACTATTCTTAAACAAAACAATTTTGTACAAAAATACAATACGTTTGTGACATCAAAATCCTTATTCAAGTTTAAAAAAATAAATATCTTCTTGTTGCACAAGGTTATTTGACAGTTCTAGTACCAGTCTCCGGTATCCCTACCAAAAAGCTGCAACTGAGCTACGTTCGTTCAGAGACACACTAAACACGCCAGGGACTCGTTAACTACTTTCTCTGTTTGCTTTCATCATTAGACAGACACAAAGCAGGTTCGCCGTGATGTTATCAGACCATCCTAACCATCAGAAGAGTTAGAGAAATGTTTGCAGACTCGATATGTTTTGACAGTAAATCACAGACGTGTCAACAGATTCAAGCCGGGGTGTGAAGCAGAAAAAAAGAAAAGTATTCAAGTGCAGAATTCCTACATGAGTTTTTGTTCCCTTTGTGATCATCCCACCCGCAGTGCATTTGCATCCCTGTCACTTTGGCCTTTTCGACAAAAAACTGACCCGAACAACTTCAAGTCCAAAGAAAGGTCGAAGAACGCACTCAGTACTTTGGGAGCATGTGCAGGTTTACAAGAAGGACATTCCTGAAGAAAAGTAGGGTCGCTCTCGCGCGTCTCTGACGGGTCTTCCCCTGTCTCGACCCTTCTCCACTTTCTGGGACGGGGTTGAGAGAGACAGAGAATGAGCGCGAGAGAGCGGCCAGGAGATAAAGAGAAAGTCTTGTGGTTTCAGCAGCTGCTGCTCTCGCCGCTCTTGGCCATGCCGGCTGAGCTGACGGCGATGTGGCAGCCATTAGTGACGTGATTCATGACTTTCTGTTTGAGCTGAGCCACCTGCTCTCTCAGGATGCTGGCGGTGGAGGCCAGGTCCGAGTTCTGCGTCTTCAGCACCTTGACCTTCTCCTCCAGCCGCGAGATCCTCTCCAGCTTCCTCTTGCGGCACTTGGAGGCGGCGATGCGGTTCCGCAGCTTCTTGCGCTCCGCCTTGATCCGCTCCTGGGTCTCCAGGTTGATGGGAGAGAGCGAGGGTGGGGAGCTGGCCGGGTCGGCCCCGGGCAGGTGAGGGACCTCGGGCACTGTCTGCGGAGCGTCCGGGCCTCGAGTCTGAGGGCCGTGGGGCGAGGCGTAGGCCATCTGGCCGCCGGGGTAAGAGGAGGGCAGCTGGTTGGGGTTGTAGCTGCTCAGGTTGGTGTAGATGGGCATGTCTGCGCCCGGCATCAGGTTCCTCTGGTAGGAGCCCTGGATGGAGGAGGAGGGCGACATGGGGGCCCCCACCAGCTGGTTCTGCTTGTGCAGATCGGCCAGAGCTTTGACGAAGCCGTCTGCGAATCCCTCCTGCTCGTTCGTGGCCTGGTTTCGGTACATGAAGGGATTAGCAGACGCGTTTGGAGCTGGGCTTGTAGTAACCAGTCCCTGGTTAGACTGGATAATCAGGTGCTCCAGATCTGGAGAGGACAGCTTCAGGAGGTTCATGTCTGGAGAAGACATCAGTGAGCCGTTGGGATTGACGCTCATGCCCAGACCGCTGGGGCTGTTGAGTTTGAGGCTCGAGGCGTTTCCCAGGCTGTGGGAGAAATGATGCGACATGTTGTTCTTCTTGCTCATAATCTTGTGGCCTTGGTATCGATTGTAATCTGGAATTTGCCCAAAGTTGGGAACGCTATCATCGTGATAGAAGGGCGTTTCCATCTTACCCGTCATTGAAACAGCAAGACAGATTCCTCACAAGACATAATACGCCGAGAAATTATCTGAGCTGCACGTTTTCAGCCATCCACTGCGAATGATCTGAGCTGTTCGAATTTGGAAGGGCATCCAGAAGTCCTGAGCATTAAACCTACAAAAGAGTAGAAAAAGATGAGGAAAAATAAATCAAAGCATACTGCAGTAAACAATCACGGTATCATTTCTAATATAGCGAATAGCAACGTTGATGATAGAATGAATGATTAAGTGTTTTATAGTAAGTTGATGTGATTAATAAATCTCAATCATTCGACTAAAACTTACATATGTACGATTCACACACACACATCAAACCACCTGTGTGCCTCTGGCTCTAAATGATCAGACTGTCATTAAAACGATGAAACCAGGAAGCTTCGTTACAGTTCCAGTACTTCCCGTCAATAAAGACTTTCCTGGGCTTCATCCAAACAGCTGAGCGCTTCTCTTGCACTTTCTTATTCACTTCGCCACATGGTCGTTAGAAACCCCGTCAAGACTCCATGAATAACCAGCAGATCGAGTCACTTACTGTGTGTAGGTCGATATAACGCGAGGAAAAGCCGCGGATCGATCAGCTCGGATCAGCTGAAGAAGCTTCCCACGAAACAATCCACTGCGTCAAAGCTCCGGTTAGTCACGCTGTAAAGCGACCGCGCAGATGTGTAACCCACGCACCGCGCCGCGCCGTGACAAGCGATGAATCTGTCCTCTCCTCTCCTCTCCGCAGCGCTGCGCTTCCTCGTCTGCTCGCTGTCAGAAGACTGTCAGAAGACTGTGGGACTTTCTGCTCGGCTGATTATTAATAACACACGCCCTTCTGTTCTGCTCTCCAGTTCCTGAAACTAGAACGCCTCCTCGCGCTGAAGCGTCGCGTTTATTGGCCGGCTGTCGTGATGTTCAGCTGCAGGGTCACGTGATCGCGGGAAGAATATGTTTTATGCATATGCGCTAAATATTACGCGTTAGTTAAATGTCAACCTAAATGCCACGTGTATTTAGCAGAAATGGACTTTCTCCAGCAGCTTTTGAATTAGCTCAAATTTACTGAACAGCAATTTTACTAAGCAACAAAGTGTTGTGCAATCAAGAACAATACAGTAAAAACAGAATTAAATAGAATTAGTCAAGTGTTTAAAGAATATGGACTCATGAAACATTGTAAAGCATGCAAATAAAACCCCTGTTCATCTCAAACAACATCATATGGGGAAAAAATGGAGAAAAAAATGTGTTCAATATATTTCCAAATACCTTGAAAAGCAGACATATGAAAAGACAGAAAGAACATGTATGCGTTTTTTGTGATTTGCTTAATATTCTATGTTAATACTTTCCTTCACATCATTTATATTTAGGCTATCTATCAAATTTAAGGCACTGTAGCTCATTTATATATATATATATATATATATATACATAAAAATCTCTGTTTTTCTGCATTTATCTCCACTTTAGATGATGCAGCGACTTTAAACTTGGTATTGTGTATGAATGGCATGGCTATGACAAACTGCCTGTGATGTGCATCGTTTGTAAATCACAATCATATTCAGCCTGAACAATTAAAACGTTCATAACTACTACACACTGTCCATCATTACTGACACTTTTATACATAGTATCTGGAAATTGTATAGTGTAAACTACATAAACGGTACATTTGTAAATAACATATCTGCACATTCATTTAAGCAATTATATGTTTTTTCCCTCTATATTTCTATTTCTGTATATAGTGCATTATTTATTTTTCTGTTTTTCTTATATTAATGTTATTTCATCTTTACTGTGTAATTCTATGTATGTCTGCAGTATGTGTGCACTTTCTTCTACACTGGAAGCTCCTGTCGCCAAGTCAAGGTCCTTGTGTGTGTAAACATACTTGGTAATAAAGCTCTTCTGATTCTGATTCTTTGGATAAAAGCATCTTCTAAATAAACACACTATGGGTGGTTAGCCTCCAGCGGGTCTGACATGTTTGGCCTGGTCTCGCTCCCCAGACGCTTCACTTCCAGTGTCGTTTCCCCGTCTGTATTAGTTAGCCGCTCCAAAGGTGATCTGCTCCGGGGTATTTAACTCCCCCATCAGTCACACAACTGCATTTTTAATGAAACTGATTGTTTAGGGGTTTTGTGTGTGTGTGTGAGTGTGAGTGAGTGTGAGTGTGTGTGTGTGTGTGTGTGTGTGTGTGTGTGTGTGTG